TATCACATCGTTTCTTTTATATGAGAAACCCCAAATATGAATAACTTAAAGAGAAATATAAAAGAAAGTTGATAGAAGGCACAGAGATAGACTTTCTGGAGATGCAGGGAGGATCTAGAGAAAAAAGAAGGGAGAGCAAGAAAGCTAGAGGAATAAAAGTCATCAAGATGTGATATGTGCATATACTGTCTCCTAAAATGCACGTCATTATTATGGATTGTAAATAACTAATAAATAATAAATTTGTAAAAGATGCACCAAGTATAGGTAAATATAAGTAGATTCAATAAAATAATAAAATATATATTAGGCAAATTTTTATTTCTCAAAAAGACAATAATAAATTATACTGGAGAAAACGTATATTTGAATGTCATCATCAACTAAATGATCTAAAACAGAGAGAATGAATAATAACTTTTGATCATTTATCCAAATATCTTTTAAAGACATCTCGATTTTCTACTTTTCTCTGTTAGTGAAGATGTCCGTTAAGTTCTGATCCATGGCTGAATATTTCTAAAGCAAGTCATAATAATTCAATATATTATGAACAAATAAAACCTTCTTAAAGATTCTGAGGAAACCGTCAAAGCCAGCTGAGCTTTTATCTTTAAAACTGACATCAAAGTGGAACTTTTGGATTCCACAGAAGCTGATTTTAATCTTGTAGGAAGGGACTTGTCTAACTTCAGCCAGAAGCTGAATAGAGAGTATGTTTATGTCTCATATCAAAAATAAATAATAGTACAACTTTCCATTTCATTGAAATTTCTATAGTCATCTTAACAAAAGTATTATTAATTTCAAGTCAGTGTTCCTTTTTAACACAAATTTTTAGTGACCATTCTCCTTATCTATCTATCTATCTATCTATCTATCTATCTATCTATTATCTGTCTTAAATAAATCACTTAGGAATTATTTCAAAAATTAGAAGAAATACCTCAAGTTTGAAACTTCCTACAAGTGTAAAGACTGAACTAAAACCTCATCAATTGATTCATCCAATAATCAAGAAATCTACACAGCAATGTGAATGTTGTACGATTTATTTAAGAAACATTGATGCAATGCTATAGCTTCCCTTTTTCTGTAATGTATATTCATTTTTAAAAGACTAGCTAATCAGAATTCCATAATTTCATAAATTATCAAGCCATTTAGGATGCATAATTAATTGGACTATACTGTATCATATTTATGAGGATTATTTATGCACAGTATGAGACAATCATAAATTATTTTGTTAATAAAATCTCTTGAGAGACATTTTAAAGACTCTTCCCCTGAGTAAATTCATTGGTGTGATTGCTGTCTGATAATTTTCTGGTGGTTAAATCAGGAATGAGTTATTTATTGTTCTGTAATTATAAATTTAAATTGCAAAATACTTAAGTAATTTGTAGAGGAGGTGCAGGGCAATATTAGAATTTAGAATTTTCAAATGTTTGATATAATTTGAAACAAGATAAATTTGCATTTTTAGATTGAACACATGCATTTATATTTATATTTTGCTTTGTAGATGTGCATTTTTTCTTATAATTTTTATAAATTTTCTGAGGATTTATAATTTTTGGATCAATATTTTTAAAATAGGTCTAATCAGAGCTCATGGTCATAAATATGGGAAGTGAAAGAAAAGTGTTTTTACTAAAAAGACAGAGAGAGAGAGAGAGAGAGAGAGAGAGAGAGAGAGAAGTCCAAAATACATCAAATGATATTTAATTGGTACTGGAAATATTCCAAGTTTGACTTTCAAAAAAAGAGCTTTGATTACAATAGTTCATGTTGAGCTCACGTTGAGCCTGCCAAAAATCCAAGCTAGATCAGAGCTTTTTTTGAAATAAACACAAGCTTAATCTGATGTAGATATTTCAAAACTCCCACTGCTTTAGTTATAACATCATCTGTTACTGAATGATTTATAAATACTCTCTACAGACAAATTTCTACAAGATGGAGGGTAAGATATTTTAACCCGAGGACATAAGGATGTGTCTAACTCATATATTAAAGCCATAGAACATTTCTTGGAAACAAAGATCTTTCCTGTTTCTAATTTTCAAAGATTCATTCCCCAGTAATCACTCAAATGGTCATCATTATTATCACTCAGTGCAGTGAATGGACATATGACTGAGACCATCTCGTATGTTAGGGGTTCAACCATGTGCTCTCAAATAGCCATTAAGGTCCTGAGTTTTTGAGTCAGACTATGGGGCTTCATCCCAGCTTCCCAATTCAGCTGCTGAATTTGTAGGCAAGTTACTTAACTGCTATGTGCCTTACCTATGTCTCCTTTACAATGAATTAATACTAGTGTCTGCTTATGCAGACTGCTGTTAAGAAGAAATGAGTTAATACATGTAAATCGCTGAAGTGTCCTGCATAGAAGTATTCTCATTAGTTATGAGCATCTTTTTGCTATTATTTTGCCTATCTTAGAGAGGATAAACCTGGAGTTATTTAACTTTCTCAATGTTACAGGACGTTTGAATATTGGCTTCTCCAACATCACAAACTTCATGCTTAATCACAGCTGGGCATTCTGTCTCTGTCTTATTTCTCAATACTTCAGGTGAGGACAAAGAATAATTTTAAAATTTTCACTTTAATATTCTCTGGTGTTCCTCAGATCAAACAGGTCCATAAAATCTGTTTTACCTCTGAAAAATATTCAGAAAAGTCTGGTAAGTTATCAAGAAATCAATGAAAATGGACATTCGTGTATGAGCTTCACCTGCATTTATAGCTGCAGATGTATCTCTTGGTCTTTTGGAGGTATCCGTGTAATGTTACAGCACCTAGAGGAAAAAGTGCTTAAATGAGTGCTTAAGGTATCAACAACTCAAAGTGAAGATTTCTTACAAGTATTCATTCATTAACCTGTATTTTGCACTTAGAAAAAAAAATATTTTGTAGAGAGGGATTCTTACTACTATAGAAGTTTGGTGCAGACTCTTCAACTCAAATTCTTATTCTGTCTCCATGACCTTTAATAAATACTCAACTGAGCATTGTATCCTATCCACTGCCTAGTGTTACACAGTTTCTATCACAGAACTAGGAGTATCTCTAAATATTCATAAATAACCCCTCATACTCTCAGGTGGTGTTGGCATTAATTACAACACGCAAACTAGTATTGAGTCAGATTATTCCTCCAAGTCCATTGCAAATAGAAACGTAACAATTAGAAAATATATCGCATATTTCAAATAAGCTAGGAGGATCTTGAATGTTCTTACCACAAAGAAATGATAAAAGTCCGAGGAGATTCATATGTTTACCTTTGTCAGAACAGTACATAATATACACATGTATTGAAATATCACCTATTATTAAGTATTAATTTAAAAGTTTAACAGATAGAAAAGATAAAGATAGGGATGTCTATGATTACTCTGAAAATCTGATAAATTCTTTACATTAGAATGTAGTAGAATTGTGAGATTTTTCAATCATCTTACAGAAAGAACAACAGAGAGGCAATTTCTTATCATAAAGCAAAGTTACTTTCACTACCTCACAGTTCAACCCAGAGAATGTGGGCAGTTAATTCAGTTGTGGTTTCAAAGCCAGACCATAGCCTCTAAGCAAGTGCTTCAGGGAGAAGGAGAGTCCTCTTGTACTCTGCCAGGGATTGTGTGGTATCTGTGTTGTTAAAGAGAGCCCTGTAGAAACAGGCAGTATCAATGTCTCAAGACAAAATGTGAAAAGTCTTGGAGAAAGAAATGCAGAACAATTAAATTATTTGCTTTCTTGGTAGCAATTGTTTTGTGTGATAATGAACTCAAAGCTAAGTATTACTGTTAAGGAATTATATAGCAGTTTAGTTTTGCAAAGTGCTTTACAATAATGTTTTATTAGATAATCACAGTAACCCTGTGAAGCAGGTCAGAATATCTCCAAGGAACAAAAGATAAAGCTATTCATGAAACATCTTACAATAAAGTGCTCTAATTTTCCTAACCCTAAATATAACTGCCTTGTGTTGTGATTTGTTTAATCTTCTAGCATATGACCTGGTTTTATTTTGTGTAATTTTGAGTAACCCTGGGCAGTTATGCCCGATGTAATATCTGAGAAAGTTCTGCATCTTGGAGTACTATACAAATAATCATAAAATTTTTAAATGTTTGAGTAGTTAATTAGCGGGACAGATATTCAAGTAAGAAAATGGTTAATGGGAACTTGGAATTTATTCCATAAGAAGCATAACAACAAGGGCATTTTTATTGCCTTATAATCCCTTTAACATTTTTAATCAGTGTACTTAGTAAATAGTTTCTCATTTAATTATTAGAAGTACTCTAAAAAGAGTTTAAAACAACTTTTTATAAAGATATACAAAATGGAGTAAAAAGTATGCAACTAACTCAAAGCCAAAAAACTAGTGGTTAGCAAATTCAGTAATTTAATATAAATCTTCTTACTATAGAACATCCTAACACATCTATCCATTCTATTAGCTTATAATGATAAAACCAATTCACCTATTACTGTGAAAAGATTTCAAAAAATCAGTATAATTTCCCTTTTGCAAAACTGCTAGTATGAACTATCTTCCTGTGTGATATTTCTCTTTACAAAGAGTGTGTCACTAGTTTGCAGGAGAGTGCAATTTGCTATCCTGGAAGGCTTCCAGAAGAATGAGAAGAAATGACTTTCTGGAGTCCCAAAATTGCCACTATAAAGGTGATTGTCATTGTACACTTCATTGGGCAATGTTTGAAATGATACAGGAATCCCTGGCGAGGATGAGTATCATCTTCTTGTACTATCTAGCACTTTAAAAAAAAAAAAATTAGAAAGTCAAAACTTCACTGATCACCAGAATCCTAGGGAAAATGGATTGCAAACAAGTAACGAAATAAACACAAAGAAGAGAATTTAATTTCAGTAGTTTAGAGCTTTTGTCTGAGAAATGCAGTACTGTGTGCGTAAGAAGAGATTCTTCTTAAGTGCCACAGTTTGCTTCTGAATCAGTACAGACCCACAGTATAGACACAGTGGAACTGAACCCAGTAATGGTATGGACAGATGGACTCCAGACTGCAGGGAGCAGGTGTGGTGCAAAGAAGAGTGGGCAGTCCGGCCAGGCCAGTATTCACAGGGAGAGAGACACTGCAGCCCAGAAGTCGGCAGCCAAAACACCCCCAAAGAGGGCCATGCCAGGGAAGGAGTTAAAGACCTAGTGGAAGGAGTTAAAGACCTAGCGCCGGGATGCGGTTGATAGTGAAACACTGCGCTGCTGTTCTTCCTGTGTGTTACCTGCAGGACTAATTTTTTATATTCCTTTTGTTTTCTTCTTCTGCTGCTGCCTTTCAACCCAAGTGTCCTTGCTGTGGACAGTCCAAACGTGCAGGACTTGATGAAACTATGCAGTTAAAAGGGTGCCTCACATTTCTGAAGAGACCCTTGAAAGGTTTAAAAATAAAAATGCTTGACTCTTACTGGGTGCAGAGTTCTCCAAATATGAGCTGCTCAGATTTTATGAAACATGACTCAGACTTCCCCTGCCAGCAGAAGACGGGCGGTTTGTGTTGCCTCATCTCTGACTTTAATGTAAGTACCCAGAGCCAGCAGAGGCATCCAGTGTTTCCAGAGGTACCTGGTTTGTCAGATTGTCAGATATCCAAAAATTTAGAACAATTTTTTTTGCAGAAACAAGACAGTAGATATTCTCAAGTAATGAAAGCTTGAATTCCCTCATGTTATACAGAAATATTTATTTTATATAAAGGCATTTATTTTCTGTAGGCTTAATTTTATGAGCAACCTAGTAAAGAGAATTGTCTGGAGATAAATTTAGAAAACTCAATCATGTAGAAAGAATTTTCTATTATTATCCTTAAACAGCATGTAGCTGTTCATATCATTTACATTTTCTGTTTTCACGTAAGCTGCAAGCTGGATGATTCATAGGGAAAATAGAGTGTTTTTTTGTTTTTTTGTTTTTTTTTGTCTTCCTTGAAGAAAAATAAAGTAATAATACCAAAAATTTGAGAGAACTTTAGCTAAAAAAGGCATTTCCTGCTGATTTCTGAAGAATGAATAAAAGTATTTTATAGTGTTCTTTCTGGGGGAAAAAAAAAAAAAAAACCAAAACCAAACAATGTGCTAACACTAATGATGATTAAAGAGAAATAATCATATAAAATAATTACCATGACTATGTAAAATAAAGTTGCCCAAGGGCAGATCCACGTTCCAAGAAGTCCTCTTTTCCCTAAAGACTGTCAGGCTTTCCAGTTTCTCTATTAAGAGCTTCATCCATCTTTCTAGGAGAGATTTGGCCTGCTTGGGGGAGGCCAGAGAGTGCTGGGGAACTGACAGTCACTAGGGTCTTTATTTTCTTAGCAAGGGGTGGAGCACCTTCCCCCCTGTGCATTCATTGTGGGACTTGTAATTAGGCCCTTTGCTCCCTGGGGTCTTGGGGCAGCTGTCATGAACACAGCCCACTCAGAGCTGCATTTTTATTCTGCAGATGAAGGAAATGGCCTCAGAGCCTCACAGGCGTGCAGGACTGGGAGGTGGCGGCTGGCTTGACAAGCAGATTTTTCTTGCAGGCTTTCTATCTTGATAAGCCTTGTCTCTACTCTGTTTACCTCAGGTTTGACTTCTTAAATGAGAAAGATTCAGCTCAGTAAGAAAAATTCATCTGTCAGAACCTAGAATCTGAGGTCAATGAAGTAATTAGTCTAATTTGTTTACTATTTTATAGACAGTGTAGTCATATATCAACTATATATCTATGTTTGTATAAAGATATATATTTTCTCTACATATGAACATACACATCTTTTAATTTTTTTATTTTCATAATTCATTTTTTAAATATATTAAAGGTATATGAAATACCAGAAAAATTTCTATAGTCAAACAAAGGCCAATATTTGTCGGAAATAGTCTTTCATCCTATTACAGTAATCAGAGTCTTTTTAATTTACAAATCATGTAAAAATTGCTACATAATTTAAAACTTACAGCACTGATATTGAGTAATCTAATCTAACACTGGAGCCCTTTGGAAACTTGTATATTACATTTAAATTTCTTTATATTCTAGCCAATTTAAATTTATAAATACGCACTGAAAATGGACTGATGCACTCACTTGGTTTTTTTCTTCTCTTAGCTGTGTCTTTCACTAGGAGAAGTTGAGGATTACATCTGATTTTGACAAATTATCTGTGGTTTGTAGTGTATATATTTAGCTACGATCTCTCAGAATAGCACAGACACTGGACTTTTTCCTTATGGAACACACATTCCGAAAAGAACGAGACAAAGCATCTCATTGTAGCTTTTCTCTGCTGAGTAAAATAGCAAAAAGTTGAGGCAAAAATTTTACTTCCATCAAGTTCTAGGTTTGTTTGTTTTGTTCGGAGGTAAGTTTCTCTATGTAGTTTTGACTGGCCTTGAACTCACTATGCAGCCCAGGCTGGCCTCTAACCCTTGTTGTCGTCCTGCCTTAGTGTCCTGAGTGATGCTCCACAATGCCCAACCCACTTCCTGCAATATTGGTAAGGTAAATGTTTGGCTGGAGAAATAAGGGATCAAAATGCCAAAAGCAAAATCATGAGCTTAAGTACATTTACTAAACTATTTCTGTGATTTTAGTTTGGAGAATTAGAGATTACAAAAATACATTTAGCAAGTTCTGCGTTGTGGCATCTGTGTCAATGCCAGAGAATTTCCCTAACAACCCCTGAGGCTTAGGCAGGAAGCTTTCAATACGCAGGAACAAGGAAAAGACTTGAGGAAGAACTTGCTGAGAAAGTGACTCCCGAAGGTGCCTCCTTGGCTGTCTCTCTCCTCATACCCCTCATTTTCCAACATCAGCATGAGAAAGGATAAATGCTCTCCTACCTAAGTGTACCTTCACAGTAATCTATTACCCCAATGCCTCAGAAATTTGTCATTAAACGTATCTTTCCTTAAACACTTTTTCTTAAAGAAACACATTTATGACTCAAGTAGCATTCTGCTTATTTAAAAAGTAGAATACATTCTATAACTGAAATGCAACAATTATGGTGACATTTATACTTGGATGCTCATAAGTTCACACAATAAAGTTGTTACTTGTACTATCTTAAAGATATAAGGGATCTATAATATAAGCTGTATCGTTTTTCATTCCTTTATTTTGTGCCTGGGAATGAAGAAATTGGAAGAGGAACCTGTCTTGGATGCCTAAAAATCCTCCAAACTGGCAGAGCAGTTGGAATATTTGGACAGCGAGAGGAGACTGAGTGTGGGGATTGGAGACACTTGGACTGGAATTCAAGCTCCTTACTTACAAGCTCTTTGCTCTCAGTTGTATGCATCGTCCTCTTGCCTTAACATATGAGGATACTATTCTGTTGAGGGGGGTTCATTTGATATCAATAGTATGCTTTTATAAACTTGGTCTGGATTCTAAAATCTCTAAAATGTTTCTTATATGCCAGGATTAAACTGCTTCCCAGGCAATTCCCTGAAAATAGGCCTGTCCTTGTCTACAGAAAGGAACAATTCAATAATAATAAGTGCACCTATGCTGGAGGGTTGGGCTGCCGCTTCTTCCTTTTGATCTGGGCACTTTCATTCGCACTTAGCCTTTGGATGAGCTAAACACCAGGTTCCTGACAAGAAATTGGAAGAAGAGGTTTCCATTTTCATATTTAGGGCTTATTCAAAATGTCTACTCAGGAAAAAAAAAATGTCTATTCTTGTGAAGAAAAAACATTTTTTTTCCAGTTTAAAACCATGAGCACATTAGTTCTCACCTACAGTTCTGTAAAGTTGATGCATACCTATCCTTATAATTTAGCCCAAATAGGTTCCTTATACTTTTATATAAGAAAACCAGTTAAAAAAGATTTCAGTAATATTTTGAATGGAATAATAAATGTGAGGGCAACATAGGTGCAAACATAAACAAAACTTAGTATGTTTGTTTTTATATTTTTGGTTTCTTTGCAAATCTCTTTCCCATTTGTTCCACATAGGTAGATGCAGGTTGTTGTGGATTAAGAACCAGTGGTCAACTTAACGCCAGCTGGATTACATCAGCATGGCACTGAGTGAAGATGTCCCATCTGAAGAAACTTGCCAGCTTAAATAGGTGGAGAAGGAGAAGGACATTGTTAAGGCGTTGAGACATTAATGCATTGTTTCATTGAGGCATTGTGGGGTCTCCTATGAGTTGTTGTTTGAGCCACTGGTTCTCCTGGAGACGCTATGGTCCTGACATTGAGCATTGCTTCCTGACTTCAGAGGGGAAGACGTGTGCTGCTTGGTCTCCAGGATGACGTCATCATGCTGACTTCCTGGCAGGTACCTGACTGTGCTTGTCATTGGAGGAGCTCGGGGCCTCCATGTCACTGAGGATGGCTGTGGTGCTTTTCAGGGCAGTCTTGCTCTTTGTTGTGAGTGTGACTTCTCAGCTCCAGCATAGAACCCTCATCCCACTAGCACAGCTCCTTCACCCCGCTGGAATGGACTTTCTGGCTTCCACTGCTGACCCTTGGGCCTTCCCGGCACAAACCTGTAAGAAAGACTGGTGTGAGTCCTTTTTGTGGGCTCTGGATCTCCAGTTGGATCCGTGGGAGGCATTGTCCTGAGTTCTGGGTTTTCATCTGGACTCATGTGGGACTTTGCTGTGGGATTTAGGCCCTTGATTAAATATTCCATGTCTTTGGTGTTGCAGATAGATTTCCTGTACTTCATTGTGTTAATTCCCGAAGACCATTATAAAAATATTATAAACTCCATGTCCTGATTCTAATTGCTCTTTGTGTACAACCTCTAACTAAAACACAGGTGGATCACGCAGAACAAAAATCTGATTACACACCAGTTCTCACCTGCTTCACTGTATTTAGACCTAACAGGCTGTCCTGGATTCCTCAGCATTTGGACCATGTATTCCCAGAGTGCTCCAGTTTTCAGTAGAGTCAGAAACAGGTGAACTCTGAGGGCAGAATTTGCCTGCTGAAAGTGATTGAAGTGCCATTCCAGCCATCACTAATTTATTTAGTATTCCAAAACCAGTAAAGATTCTTCTAACATATCACTCTACCAAATAAAAGGGAATAAAAATAAAGCAAAACCTGTTTGATGCCTCAGGCATGTTCAGTGTGTTGCCCAGGTTAGCTCATTTCAATACTTAATTTGTGGCACTTCCTTTAATTAAATCATTTAACACTCAAAAAGTAATTACAAATATGAACAAATTTGATTTCCTGGAGTTGGTATTTGACATCTCAAAACATAGAAATCCCTGCTGCTAGCTTAAACTATGTTTGATATTTAGCAATTAAACTAAATTAATTCTGAATATGGGTTATAGATAAATTTTTATATCCAAGATTCTTAATCATGACTTCTTTATATTGTAGTTGTATGAAGTAATGAATAAAGGAATAATTCCTACAAAATCATCTTCTCAATTTAATAACACACAAGAATATTACCTGGCACATTGCCAGAGATCAAAGCAAAGTAACCAGATACTAGAACTGGAAGAGAACAGGAGTCAAGTAACAGAGCCTAAACTTCATGAGAAAGGATTGACTCCCAGAGCCACTGCAGTACTGACTGACCTGAAGTCAACACAGCCACTTTGCATCAAAGATCATGGTTCAAATCTCTTTTCATCTAGCTACAACACATTCTGCTAAGTTACATAATTAAGGATTGAGTATATATATTTATGTATATATACAAGTGCATATTATATGAGGAATACAACCATTTTTTTAAATAGGATAGTATGGGATGTTTCAGCTGGTCACTCCCCTATCCTATCATATATTACAGGATATTTGGACAGATCATATTCTTCTAGTTCTTACATAAAGGCTACAAAAGTCGAAGTCAAGAAAAAAAATAGCTACATTAGACTACAATCTCTTGACCCCCACAAATCAGCTTTTCTCTGACAACTATTGTTTGAGTAGAACATATAACCCACAATTATCTAATACACCAAAGTTACATTAGTCACTTTTTCATCACTAGGACAAATTCCTGAACACCCACAACTTAAACAGAAGTTTATCTGGTTCATGATTCTAGATGGCTTACTCCTACTATTTGGCTGACTGTGAGGCAGAATTAGTATAGCAGAATACAGTGGTGGAGGAAAGTTGCTCAAACTAGAGTAGCCAGGAAGGAAAGAGAACAGAAAGAACCAGAGAGGGAGGGAGATGTGGAGAGACAGAGGTGGGGCAGAAGAGGGAAGAGGGAGAGGGAGAGAGAGAAATATTCAAATTCATGCTGTCAGTACAAACTCCTCCACCCAGCCCCCACCTCTAGTTAGCACTTGCATTTATGAATTTTTTAGATGATTAATCTGATGAGTACATTATTCCCATGATCCAATCAGCTTATGAAATCCCCACACTTGATACATAAGACTTTTGTGGGACAATTAAAATCTCGATTATGATGTTCCATCTGTGGCTAGTGAAAAGCTATGTCCATCACTTACACAAAATGTGTTTAATTCATTTACAAGAGTGAACAGTCTTGCACTGGTGGTATAGTTAAAAGGCACAGCACTTGCCTGGCAAATACAAGGTACTGAGATCAATTCCAATACAAAAAACAAACAAACAATAAAAGACTCAATAGTTTTAGCACTGCTTAAAGGTATAAGCACAAAGTCTTTTTCTGAGACACAAACACTTAGCTGACAGTTCCTGTAAAATCAAAAAATACTTAAATATTTCCAATATACATTAGTACAGAGTAAACAGTCTGTGTTCAAGAAAGGAGAAATGGGAATACAGAGAGCAATGGGACCAAATCAACACTGAAAACTATTAGGGCAAACATTAAATCCCATAGCTACATGACCAGCACATTTTGTAGATTGTACAAGCAGATTGTAGTGACATGTGAGCTCAAATTGGTTTGGGCCTTGCTGGTCATGGCTTCTGCCTCTCTATTTTTCTTGAGCTGGCTGTATTCACCATCTGCAACTTTGCCCAAAAATATTCTATGTTGTTGGCACCTCTAATTTCTTGGAGTCTTCCCTGTACCCTTTGCATCTTTCTAACAGCTTGTTGTATCTCCCTGTAAGGAGCACATTGCTTGACCTCCCAGGACCTCTTCAGAAATCAGGACGGAAGCCACTGTGTTTCCATAACCCCTGCATTGTCCATGCCTGATTAACCGAGTGGATGATATCGAAGTCTGTTGCCTGCTCGGAATGGCAGACTCTTTTGTACCATGGCTTTCGTGGTCACTGAGTTCACAAATATCTGATCTTGGGAAACATTTCCCTGGGTATCCCTGAATGAGCAGGGTGGCCTAGGGCTCTCTTATAAAAGAACTCTCATTCAGAGCTACCCTTTTATATCCTTGAGCCCAAGATAGTTGTGGTCTGCCTAATATCTGAGATGCCTCAAAACAATCTGTCCTATTTTGGTGCAAAGTTCTGTTGTTGTTGTTGTTGTTGTTGTTGTTGTTGTTGTTGTTCTTCTTCTTCTTCTTCTTCTTCTTCTTCTTCTTCTTCTTCTTCTTCTTCTTCTGCCTTCTCCTTCTTCTAACTTTTCTTCCTTCCTCCTGCTCCTTCTCCTTCTTCTTTTTTCTTTTGAAATTCAGGAATAAAATACAGGGTCATCCCATACAGTACATTTACAGCCTTTTTTTTTTTTTTCAAATTTTGAGACAAGGTCACAATAATTTACTAAGTTACCCAGGATAGGCCCTAACTTGGCATCCTCCTACCAAAGCTTCTGAGAGTTTTGCAATTACAGGTGTATGTCACCTGTTCTAGTGTTGGTTTCTTTTTACAGGCACAAATCATATCAGACTCTCTCATTGGCCCTAATTTGTAGACATTACCTTTGTGGGAAATTTGAAAGATTTTGAAGCATTTCAGTTCTGCTGACTGCTGTTCAGTTGACTGCTGATTTTCAATGTAGAGCTGGCTAAAATAAGTTACTGGCATCTTTCAAAAGTCTAAACACTGAACTGCTTTGAAATTTTTTCCACCACATTAGTTAGTCTTCCAACTTTAAATTCAGTCACAGACAGTTTTAGGACATGGACAAAATGAAGCTAAGTACTTTGCTGTGTAAAACATATTGCTTCTAGTAAATTTTCTAATAGAGTCCTCTGTATAGATAGGGCTATGCAATGCTGTGTGCAGGCTGTAAAACTCTATGTGGTATATAATAGAAACTTTCTGGCTTCTATTTCCCTGAGTTACTACATTTTATAAAATAGCATACGGCTCCCTTTTGAATGCAAATGGTTGGGCACAATGATCTGTTAGCTCATCATCGATACAAATGAAAACCAACATCCATTGGATATGCCAGACTGTTGGGAGCCGCAGCCCCGAGCCCGGTCGCCTCACTTGGCGGACGTGAGGCCTGTAGTAAAGAGTAAAGCCTGAGGTAGATTACCCCTCCCATCGAGCACGTTAGTTTCCTGCTTACCGCGTAAGCAACCCGCTCAACAATATAGTCTGCCTGGCAACTGATGATGTTAGCCAATCAGCTTGCCTTGCTCACTTTAACATGATTGGACACTGTATCCGTATATATACTGGTGCCACCCCTGGGGGGGAAGAAGAAGCCCGGAAGTAGAAGCCCAGAAGGAGCCGCGGGGAGCGGACCAAAGGAGGCTTCGGCTGGGAGCGATCCCAGGGCAGGCTGTACGAAGAAGAAAAATAAAAGAAAAGGTTGTCCACTGCCAGACTTTGTCGTGTGTCCTTCCTGCCGGCCGGGAGCGGACATTGACATTTGGAGGCCCGCACGGGGACTGATCACCCCCGAGACGTGACAGCGGACAACGCTCCAGTACAGAGCTGCGAGACAGGTGAGTTGGGGATAAGCCTGGGCTCTGGGTGGCGCGCACCTACAGGGCTTTTAGACTCCCCTCAGGCTCACGCGTAAGTGGCGGATTCCTTGGGCCTCACGCGGTGAGTAACATATTAAAAAATGGGAAACATGCTAGGTAGTAACATTAAGAGCGAGGGTGGTTGTGGAGAAAGCTCTCAAGAGCTTACAAAAGTACGCAGGGTATTTGAGCAGGCCCAGTCGGGGAGCTCCCGAGAGGGGCCCGTCAAGGGGAACAAAGATGCTAAGGAGAAGGACGGGGCTCTAGCCTCGGAGTTGTCTGACTCCGAGGACGAGGGAAAGTTGAATGGCAAGGAGGCCAAAGAGACCAGCTGTCAGGAGCCTAAGTCGCTCGATAAGGAGTCGCAGGGTTCTTTCCCAGCGTTGCGCCGTGAATTGTGCTCCACTCAACTTGGTCTGCGGAGGAGTAGAGAGCTCCTGAGCGCTCCCCGGCGCGAGAGGGAGGCGAAGCCTTCCGCCCCACCTTGGGGGCTGTTCCCGGAAGCGATCCCTCGCCACGAGGCGGCCGCCCGGGAGCTCCCTTCCCCTTCGCCAGAACAGGAAGTGATGCACGGGCCCCCATTTTCCGCCCAATCACGGCCGCCGTCTTATGCTCCGCCGCCGGCGGGTCGGTATTTTTACGGGCGGCTTTGGCAGGGGGGACGTTTGTCTCATGAGGTACATCCACCACCTGGGATAGATAGTGGCCCCTACGGGATGTTTCCTGTACAAGTAGCTATGGGCCAGGGACGTAATGCATGGGAGCCTTTTGAGATAAAGCAGATTAGAGAACTTAAAAATGCAGTTACAACCTTTGGGCCGACTGCGCCTTACACCATTGCCATGCTGGAGAACCTGTCTTCTGGGCCCCTCACCCCCGCGGACTGGATTCAGCTGGCAAAGGCGTGTCTGCCCTC